ACTTCGTGTCGACTGGAGGAGAAGGACTCGCCGTCTTACTTGCACGAAAACCACCGACAAGTTTGAAGATTCTCTCTTTCTCAAGAGAGTGAACGAGAAAGAAAGAAAGAAATAAATAAAAGAAAAAGTAAGATACAGTGAGATAGATAGAGAGGGAGAGTAACCGAGTAAGAGTAAGAGTAAGAGAGAGAGAGAGAGAGAGAGAGAGAGAGAGAGGGAGAGAGAGGGAATGAGTCGAACAGTGGAAAGTCACGATCTTCCTTCTTCTCCGAGTAGTGGGCCCAGCTCACTCACTCACTCGCTGAGAGAAAGAGAAATAGAAATAGAAATAAATAAATAAGAAAGATAAAGATGGAAGATGAGAGAAGAGAGGAATAAGCGAAAACGAGGATAAACTGACAGACGTGCGGGCGTACGCACGAGTCAATGAAGTGAGTGGTACTCACCCGTAGGAGGCACCTGCCCTCACCTTACCCAACTCGGTTCTCCTCCTCCTCCTCTTCCTCTTCCTCTCCTATCCCTTTTTTTTTTACTATACTCTCCTCCCCCTTCCCCTTTTATCCTCTCATCCTTTTCTCTTTCTTTCTTTCTTTTTTTATTCTTCTTCTTCTTTTTGTCTCTTTCTTTTCACCTTAAGGAATAAAGAAACCCTTTGGCCCTTCCTACTTCTCATCGTGTTCTCTTTCCCTAACCCCTCTCAGCCCCCCCCCTACCCTTCACTCCAACCATACACTTCTTTTTCTTCTTATTTTTCTTCTTATTTTTCTTCTTGGCCCTTATTTTCTTACTTCCTTTTCCCTTAACGTTCATTTATTGATACGTTAACAGCAGCAGCACGCCGGTACTCTTAACGGCAGTCTCTTTTCTCTCCTCTACCGATCAACTTCCAAAGATCTTTGAAAGATCTTTCCCAAAGAAGTACCGACCTTCCAAGAGAGATCACTCAAGAATCTACTTGAAACCTTCCAATCGATTCCCTACCTTCAATTCGATCTCTCTCTCTCTCTCTCTCTCTCTCTCTCTCTCTCTCTCTCTCTGTTCTACTCTATTGTATTTTCTTTACTTTTAGTTTTTCAATAAAAGAGAAAGAATTTTCCTTGCTTGCATTCTTTCTTTCTTTCTCTCGGAGTATTAATTGTTTTTTTTTTGATCTTTATTTATAAAATATTCACCATTAGTAAACCAATTAGTAGAAATACAAATCAAATAAATATAAATT